GCTGGGCCTGCGCGTCCGGAGCCTGTGCTCCGCAAATGGGAGGGGCCACAGCGGTGAGAGGCCCGCGGAACGAAAGAAAAAAAAAAAAAAAAAAAAAAAAAAAAAGAAGCCTCCACAGCCGCTGTGACCAGCTCTTCGTGTCTACACACAAGAAATGACTGACACGAGATCCTGCCTCATCTTCTGGTTTTCGGAGGAGCATTTACCAAAAAGGCTGCTGAGGAAGGTTAGCACGCCTGGTTCTACGGTACAGCTGAAGGAATGGGCCACTGCACCTAGAGCCCCCTGAGGAGCATCCCCCCCGCTGCTGGGCTGGGCTGATCGCAGCCTCTGATCAGTACCCACCATCAAGGCAAAGCTGTGCTCCGGCAGCATCCCATACTGTTGCACGAGCTTCTCCCGGGTCACGCGGGGCAGCTCGGGAAGCTGCTCCCGGAGCCGGTCGATGTTGATCACCTGCTGCGGGTCTGTGCCAGTGGGCAGGGACTCCGAGTCGTAGAGTAGCAGCGGGGGCAGGTTGGGCTCCGGCATGAACCTGGCACACAGAGGAGATGGCATGACTGAGTATTCGGTTTAGCTGGAAGAAACAAACCTATTGTCAGTATGAAAGTTTGTGTCTGGATGCCATGTTACTTGCAAATATTTTCCAACATCCCATAATATCAAGTCTCCTAGTTTTCCAGGAACTAGTCCTTATACAAGTGTAAGGTCAAAAAAAAAAAAGCTCAGAAGGGCAAGCAACCCATCACCTCAATGCCAAATCTGTGCTATGAATTAGTCTGACTTCTGAAGGCAAGAGGAAACCAAAGGGAGGCTTCCTGAATCCCATCTGTTAACCTGAGAGACTGAGCTGAAGCCACTGGCTGTGCTAAAAGCCAACTCCACGCTCAGTGAGAAAGCAGCATAAACAGAGTAGGAGCGACAATGGAAAACAAAGAAGTTCTTAGGAAGAACAGACTGAACCTAGAGGGATCACTATAATTAGAACAATGGTGACTTTGACAGACACACAAGAGGAGTCCTTGAGGTGACATGCATTCTAAGGGTTTGTGAGCTTTGTCTTTCCTAAATCTCGATGCTTAAATGAGCATTAAGTGAAAAAGGCACAGCACCATGTTGATGCCACACTGTGGTTTATAACTGTGGATAAAGTATATGTTCATAAAGACATCGGCTGGAAAAAATAGGACCAAATGAGAACAATTTACTTTTTAGGAAGAAAGATTATAAATCTTAAAATATTTTTAGCAGTATTTGTGTAACAGATGAAAAGTCAAAGAAAAAGAAAACTTTCTTTCTTGAGAAGTGCAAGAAATAAATAGATTTTGCCCAAATAAAATGTAGAAGCTAGGGGAGAAGGAGGAATGAATAAAGGGAGTATAAGGGATTTTTAGGGCAGTGAAACTATTCTGTATGACACTGTAATGGTGGCTACATGTCATTATACATCTGTCAAAACCCACAGAATGGACAACATAAGGCACAGACCCTAATGTAAACTATGTACTTTACCTAATAATAAGGTATCAATATTGGTTCATTAATTTTAACCAAGGTACCACACTACACACTAATGCAAGATGTTATCAGAGGAACTTCTGTGTGTGTGTGGGTGGGGGGGGGATACGACACATACCAAGGAGTATATGGGAACTCTGTAATCTCCACTGAGTTCTGCTGTAAACCTAAAACTGCTCTAAAAGGGTCAACTAAGTTTTTAAAAAATGTGGAAGCCGCACCACTGCATATACGCTTGTGAAATAAAGATGTCCTTCCCTCTGTTCTATTCTAGCATCTAACGTTTTCTCTCTGCCCTTATTTGTCAAAGGGCTTATACAAAAGCAGGGTAATGCAGAATAAATGGTGGCTCCAAGGTAATAGCTCAGAAGGGCAAGCAACCCATCACCTCAATGCCAAATCTGTGCTATGAATTAGTCTGACTTCTGAAGGCAAGAGGAAACCAAAGGGAGGCTTCCTGAATCCCATCTGTTAACCTGAGAGACTGAGCTGAAGCCACTGGCTGTGCTAAAAGCCAACTCCACGCTCAGTGAGAAAGCAGCATAAACAGAGTAGGAGCGACAATGGAAAACAAAGAAGTTCTTAGGAAGAACAGACTGAACCTAGAGGGATCACTATAATTAGAACAATGGTGACTTTGACAGACACACAAGAGGAGTCCTTGAGGTGACATGCATTCTAAGGGTTTGTGAGCTTTGTCTTTCCTAAATCTCGATGCTATATTTGTTCCTCATTGACAGCAATGGCTACTCTTACTTCTTCCTGCACTTTGCAAAGGAAAGTGCCAACCCCCACAACTTTGTTGCTGACATATTTAATTTTTTCAGTCTGCTAAACTGGGAAGAAACAAAAGTCTCAATTTATTGGAAGCTATTCTTATTATTTCCTTTATTTCTGGATCTCAAATGAGGTCTAACGTGTTAAACAGCATCACCTGAGGTTTGAAGGGAACTGCCATTAACATATACATCTCTTTTTTTCTACCTTCTCACAGAACTTCAGTGTTACTGCATTAGTTACTGAACATGAGAATAAGAACAGCCTAGGGCCCACCCCACAACTGCCATCCTCTTAGCTCAATTATGAAAACTGACACAGAGGTGAGTGAACAAGTGTTTTCCAGCTGTTGAATCCTGTCAAATGAGGTACTCCAAGGCTACCAAATCAAGAAAATACTCTTCCTCTCAGTGTACACGTAAAACAGGAAGCCTAGATTTTCCATTATGCGACAACAACAAGGAAAAGTGGTTCCTAAAAGCAATCTAGGGTCATTATGCTGGTCTGTAAGTGGATTTGGAATATGACCCAAATACAGAATGGTGTTTTGACAAGAGGAGTAACCACCTGTAGTCTTGTTTTCCTTCTTTGTCTCTCATCGGCACGGTGCACCTGTGACAGTTAAATGAGAAAACATTAAAAAAATGCTGCATGAAGCGTCAGCTAGTGTAGATGCAGACAGGGGTTCCCCTACCAATAGGGAACCCAGGGGATTCAAGCTCCTCAGCCTTCCTTGGGAGACACTTTCATGAATACATTGCAGAAATAATATTAAAGAAAGACAAATGTTTAGCATGATAATTAAAGAAAAAGAACAGAAAAGCAATTGCTTCAACGTTTCCAAAATTGAACCAGCTCAAACTCTAGGCTCTTGAGCTTTTTTCCCCAGTCTTCTGTTAAGTGTATAAAATCCTCAAAATTCAGAGTCAGAAAGTTAGACTCAAAGATATCTAAACAGAAAGACACCGCTACAACCAGTTCTAAGCTTTCTTCCACTTCTAGCTTAAATTGGCAGAACTTAGATCTGATAGAATTTAAGGAAGTAAAAATTCTTGGAACAAAGGAGGTAAGCTGGAAGCCAGGGAAGTGCCAGGACTTAAGACTCAGCAAGTCTGATGGTAGTCAGGTGAAACCTCTTACCAGCCCTAGAGGGCATATCACAACCCTGTAGGGTACCGTATTTTCCTAATTTTACTAATGAGGAAACCAAAGTGCAGAGAAGCTAAGTACCTTCTCCAAGGTGACATGGCTGGTCTGTGGTGAGCCCCGACTGGAGCCCCACCTACCTGTATTCAAGATGTTGTCATGCAAACTCACCCCAGCTTGTAATCGAACGAGCGAGTTTCATTCAGGATTTTACCTCCATTCTCAAGTTCATTGATTTGCCTCTGAATTTCATAGTCTAAAAAAAATAGTTTAGTATCATATTTTGATTCCTTTCATCCAGTTTAGCAATAAATAGACATCTTTTTCAATCTTTATGTCAAAAACTAATCAAGGGAGTTGTTTATAACTCTTCCCACAGATGCTATATTTTATTCTTGCTGCCGTCATAGAATAATCATGCTAGAAAGGGCCTTTTAGGAAGCTCTGCTCCTTCACTTTTTGAGAAAACCCAGACTCAGAGAGATTGCGTAACCCAGTACAGGCTACAAAACGTGGCAGAAGCAGGGCTAGGACCAATATCTAGGCAGAATGACCCCAGATCTAAGATCGCTGCTTATCAAGAGTTTTTATCCTAGGATCCATGGGTGGCCTTCAAGGGGTTCTAGTACCTCCTGAGATTATATGCAAACGTGCATGTGTGCACAGGCACATATTTTGGAGAGAGGGTCCAGAATAAAAATTCTGGACCCTCTCTCCAAAATATGGAGAGGGACCTATGACCCCAAATGATGAACAGCCACTGCTCTATGCCACACTCCCTCACCACCCAACAAGGCAGAAGTGGTAAGCAAAGCACAGCCACAGTTGCTAAGCTTCCTTATGAAAACAGCTTTAGCCTCCCCTCCCACCTCAACTCCCCGCCCAACATGTACCACCTGCCCTTGCCCAAATCCAAACTCTTATCATAGCTGACAAAAAGCAGCAACACTAAGAGGATGGCTAAAAGGTGTGATGTAGGGAGAAACATAGGGTAGAAAAATTACAGGCTTGAAGAATTAAGCCCATAACAGTAAAGCTTCGGTTCTTCCAGCCTGAGTCAGACCACAGGTAGAATTCTGTCTCAGACTACTCCAAAGGGTCCTTCATAAGGTAACAGGTTAGGGACAGCCAAAATTCAGGCAGGGGTCTCCATCTTAAGTCATCAGGGATAAATCTACCTAAAATCTTGTTTTTTAGGTTCCCATCACCACCTCTTAGAATAATGAGTTCCAGAACACTTATCACCTACAAGGTGAAGTGGAACTTTCTTTCTGTTCATTCCAAGCTTCCCCTTCACAAACCTGAGCTGGAGGGTTTTCCCTAACCCAAACCTATCATGGCCTCAGAAATATGGACTGTGTCTCCTTTTACAGACAGAAGAGTCCACCATCGTTAGTCTGTCTTCACGCGGGGACCTTCCCCAACACCTTCCTCTCCTGTAAGTCATCCCCTTGACCATTTTAATGCTTTTTTCCTGAAAACTTGTAGACTCAAAGTGTCTTCACTGAGGCTAGTTGATCATTTCAGGTTCAGGATAATAAAGTTTTATACGAGATTAGAAAATCTTTTTTGTGTTCCTTCTAATACCCAGGATGCTACTAAACCTTTTGGCTGTGACTCCACATTCATCCGTCCCATTCTCTGTGCACCCTGAAGGGTGCACCTTAACCTCCACCTCCTCCCTCCTCTCTTCCTCTCTAGATACCTTTGGTTTTAAAGAATATTTTCATTCCTCTGAGATGTCTTCCCCTCACATTCACAGATATCAACTTCTATGGACCACCCTAGATGTTGATCTTGCTCAACTGTTCGATTTTAACTACTAGTATACATTTGTCCACACTGAAAGATCCACAATGTGAACAAACAAGACCAATACCTGATTACACAGGCCCAAGCAATCTATTAGTTAAAACGGTAAAAAGCAGAAAAACATACTGACCAATTAAGTCAAATCGTGGCCATCTATAATGAACAAATACGACTTTATACAGTTTGGTCTAGTCAGAAGGAATGTGGTACATGGAAAAACAGAGTTACAGGATTTTGCAGATCCTCCCATAGAGGTGAAGTCTATTTCCCCTCCCCTTGAACCTGCTTTGAATGCAATGTGCTGGAAGAGATGCTGTGCAGGTTCTAGAGCTAATGACTCAAGAGGCCTTGAGGCATCTGCCTTCATTCTCCTGGGGTGCCCCCTCCGCCAAATAAGAAGGGCTGGGCTAGGCAAGTGAATGAAGCAAGCCCACGTGGGTAGAGCAGCCCAGCAGACATCCAGCACCAAGGCTGCAACACGTGAGTGAGGTATCTTGGACCCTGTATCTCAGCTGAGCTGCCGGCTCCCCACAGCCATATGAATGAGCCAAGGCAGGACAAGTAGAAAAATCACCCAAGCCACAAAACTCTGAAGTTGAGATGTTATCATGTAAGCCATTAAGTTGGCGGGGGGGAATGCTTGTTACACAGCAACAGATAACTGATACAAAGAAGTATATCAGGAGTAACAGCTGACATTCACCTATAGCTTTGGCCAAAAACCTGGCACTGTTGAGATTCTTTACTTCGGTTCGAATGCCCAAAGGCTCCCCAGGGTTATGCACAGATATGTTGGCGTCCACTCTCAACTGGCCCTCTGTAAGGAAAGAAAAAAGACAACACTTTAGAAATTCTCTGAGGCAATCGTGGTTTTTTTTAAGGCAAGAGAGTGCAAGCAACGTCTAACTCTAGTTGCTGTTTAGTTACAGCAGCCTAACCTCAGAGGAAGTAAGGTTGGTCCTGAAGTACTAACTTTTGCCCACTTGCGAAAATGATGGTCCTAAGGCATCTGAAGGGTGTGTGTGTATGTGTGTGTATATATTTCTGTGCACTTGTGCACATGCAGAATGCAGGAGAAATTCTGGATATACTGGCTTGGGAAATCTAATTTCTTTCATGCCAAATAAGAAAAACAACACTGTTAAAAATGGAGATTTACCCTGCAGTTTTATTCCGAAGTGTTTTTCAAAGTGTCAGAGCTGGGCTGCGGGGGAAGGCTTCAGAAATGATCATGTGATAGCCCTACACTGCTCTCCAATGGAATGTGGATTTCCAACAGTGATTCCGGGAGATTTATAAGAGAGTCCTTGAGAATTTACAGCTCAAGGGCAACAGCCAGAAACCTGGGCTTTTCCCCTCGTCCTTCCTCCAGGTACTGTAATGATCTCTTCCTTCCGTAAACAGGACTCGGAATCCTTCCCGACTGCTGTAAGGGTTTGCCGCAGCAGACAGACAGTGCTGTTATGAAGGGGACGGTCTGTGGGGGAGGGACTCAGAGGGGGCCATCCCCATCCTGGGAGGACCTTCTCTGGCCCTGCAAGCCCCCCCATTTTGGGAACAGTAACCCCTAAGGAAGCAGGTGGTTTATGGAGAGGGCCAAGAGGCTCTTGAGGAGGAGAGGGAGGCAAAATCTCAAGCCAAAGAGAGATAAAGATAAGAAATCATCACATTTTATACCCTGAAAGGTAAGGCCCCAATTCTCTGTTCTCCAATTCCACTTACAATATTTAAAACAGAACAAAAGGGGATGACAAAATGCTGGATTTTTCTTAGGCAAGTCTTTGAACTAAAAAAGAATCTGCCAAAGAGGAATGTGTCGATGAGCTGAAGAAAGCAATTTCATTTCCAAGGTTTCATAGCAAAAGCATATTAAAATAATAAAATAGCTCAAATATATTCTATGCCAAGAAAAAGAGACCCTTGCAACAGGTCTCTGTCATTCCCACTCTGCCGCTCCAATGGCCACCCACGTTGACAGGCAGGGAAAAGGTGCCTTTCAGCCCAGAAATTACTCTATGTCTCCAGAATGGACCTCTCACAGTTCTACAAAATCCCATAGCCCCTTTAGGACAACATGTGCTTCCTTGAATCTCAAGAAGTCCCAACGACTCCTGATATCATCAGACTCTTGGTCTAGGAACCCTGCGGCATCCTTTGCTGCTCTGTTTTCTTGACCCTTTGTAGTCTGACTAGATCCTGTCAGTTCCTTCCCCCAAACACCCCCTCAGAGCTGTCACTTCCTCTCCATTCCCACGGCTGCCATCCTTGCCTGAGCACCCACATCCTATCCCGACCTTCAACTCAGTGACCCCTCCTGGTCCAGCTCCCCCTCCCCGCCCACCTCGGTTCTGGCCACATCCTGCTACAGGACGGTTGCGTCACTCCCAGTGCTTGACCAAGTGCACAGCTGGCTCCCACTGGGTCATCCCACCTCCTCTGCTTGGTATGCAACAGCCCTCATCTGGTCTTGACTGATGCACCCCACATTTCCTGCTGCTCATTCCCTGAGAAAGCCTCCTCCCATCAGGGGAGCTTCTGTCTGCTCGCTGGTTCCCACAGGCTCTCGTCATCCCTGTTACTGTCCCTCTTTCAACCTCAGCTCATCCTTCGAGGTCCCACATAAGTGGTACCACCTTCTCCTCCTGGAAACCCTCATCAGTAGGCCGGCCTCCACTGGTGGCTCCTCGGAGCTATTAGAATACATGCAATCAGTAGAGCACATGATTGTAGTCTATTCTAAATTAGTCTTTTCTTTGAGACCAGATGGAAGCCCCTTGGGAATGGAGCCCAGATTTAAAACTCCCATCCCTCTTGCCTACCCAAAGACATCACTCCTTCAGTTCTCTCCTCTCTCCCACAGCACTCCTTAACTCTCTTCCTCAGCATTCCCTCTATGCATGTATATCCATAATCAACAGTATTTCTCACTAGAAACAACCCAAAGACCCACTCCCTTGAACCCAGTTCTCTCTTCATCATTCTGCTGTTATTGCTCTGCTTTCCTTTTCAGCAAATCCTCTCAAACAAGTACTGCTTGTTTGTTGGCATCTCATCTCCGTGGGCTCACCTCCCATTTACTCCTACACCCACGTCAGCCTGGCTTCTGTCCCCACCTCTCTGCAAAACGCCTTGTCAAAGTCACCATCAACCCCTGGCCACCAAATCCCACGGACGCAGGACACGCTGTGTCTTCCCCTCACTGGATACGCCGGCCCTCGGCGGTATGTGACCTAACAACCAACGCTTCCTCCCTGAAACATCTTCCTCCCTCGGCTGCTGGGACCTCACTCACCCTTAGCTGCCCCCTACCTCCTGGACACTTTCCATGTCCATGTCATTTGTTCCCATCCAGACTCAGGACTATCTTCTTTACCTGCACTCTCTCTGTAAATGTATATGGTCTTAAACACCATCCAAGTTCTGATAACTCCTGAATTTCTCTCTTCAGCCAAAACCCTACTCTGAACTCCATCCACACTGACCTCTGTGCCTACTTCATCTCCACGTGGAGGTGGCCCAGGCATTTCAGTTTGTGAAACTAAAGGATCTGTCCTGCAACACATGCACCTTTGTCCTCATCTTCCCCGTGTCAGCAAATGGCACCACCACCTCGTTCCTCAAGAGTCCTTGACTTCTTCTGGCCTCTTTGCCTTCTACACCAGCCTGTTAACAAAAATCCTGTTATTTCTAAAAACCACCTCGAATCCACCATCTTGTTCTCTCCATCCTCACCGACACCAGCCCTGTCCAGAAGAGCACCATCCTCCACCTGAACTACTGCCAAAACTTCGGAACTGGGCTCAGCTTCTACTCATACCCTTCTGAAACCCACGTTCCATGGAGCAGCCGCAGCGGGTTTCCAAAATGGTAATCCGACTATGTCGTTCCTTGGCTTAAAAGCCCTTCCCTGACCTCCCACTGCCCTTGGAATGAAATCCAAACTTCTTATCATTGTTGGAGATCTAGCCCTCGCAGACCTTTTCAGTCTTACCTGAGGCCACACTGCCCTGCTCCTCGCGCCTCCCCTACAGTGGTCTTCTGCCACCTGTGTTACCTCCAAGCATATACTCTACGTTTTCCTCACCTCAGGGACTTTGCCTGGGCTCTTTCCTGGATGCTCATCCTCTAGCTCCCTGGGGCTGGGGCCTCGGGTCATTCTCCAGAGGCCCTCACCATCCAATGTATTCTTTATCACGGCACCCTCTATATTTCCTTAAAGCACTTACCACTGTAACTACTTTGTTCTATTTGTTAATGTATTTGTCTCCCTCATGAATACAATATTTCCTCTAGGTAGCAGGAACAATGTCCTTTTCACTGCTCTGTTCAGAACCTAGAGCTGCCTCTGGCACATGGTAATTGTTCGATAAATTCATACCTTGGTATTTTCCTGAGCCACGAGTAAGCAGACTGGTCTCACAGTAGGTTCCCGACAAGTTCTAAAGTTCTGTCTGAATAGGACTAATCTACTGAATCCTATGAAAGGCCCATTCAGCTCAAAGGAAAACTTCCCAAGTATGCTGAGCTCTGCCCAGCCAAACCTCGATACTTGGGAGAGAACTTTTTTTGAGCCCTGAGAACCCTGAGTTGGACCTCTCCTGCTTTTAAAAATAAAACCATCTTTCACAATTTAGACTTTTAATTTGGAAAAGGAATAAAAGCATGAGTTTCAGTCTCTCCCAGAGAAGACCGCACTCCATAGATGTCTGAGGGGACTCATTTAGTGTCCTGCAGTGTTGAAAGGCAGTTCACTTGCCTGGATTCCAATACAGTATCCAACACTCACAAAAGGCATTTACCCAGTGAAGACAAACTACCTTTTAAACAAATTAAGGTAAATTGCCTCAAGTCCACAAAAGCCTCACAGTCACGTTTGCTTCAGTGCATTCTGCAACACTGGGGGAGGGCCTTCACAAGAACGTTATCAAGCTCAATTTCCACCCTCTAGAAGTAGAGATTTGTAACAGCAAAATGAAAAAACTGTACTACTGAGCACAGTGATATGGTGCAGTCACATTTTTTTTTCTAAAACACATTCACACATCAGAAATGTAACATCAGGGCAGAAAACTGTTTCTGTAAACAGCAGGGGCCTGATGATTTAGTGAGAAAGTCTATGAAGCTGTGTCTCATTCTGATCACTGAATACCCTCCAGAACTTAAATAACAGGGCTTGACAAAAAATAAGGTAAAATAAATAATGTGGCTCAATTTTATCCAACATATTTCACAAAGTGTATTCATCCACAATGAGTGGTGATTCTACTTATTATTGTCAATAGAAGCACCTGACATTTCATGAGCACAGGCTATTTGCCAGGACCTGTGACATGTTTTATGCACATTACCACATTCTTCCCCTACAACAGAGCATTAATGACACATCCACTTAGACGTCCTTTAGGCAATTCACACTTGACACGTCCAAGACGGTATTCCAGGTTTTCTTCCACAAGGCCAGTCCTCGCCTGCTCTTCCCACCCTGCTGCCCCAACTCTGTTTGATGACTTGAATGACTTCCTCTCCTCTTTGGTTTCTTCCTTTCTCTTTCCATATACAATTATTTAGGGACTCGTTTCACAAGTGTGGAAAGGGAGGCTCACAGAAGTCAAATACCCCGCCCAGTTTCTATAGCTAGAAGCGGTAGGATAGGATTCCAGCCCAGGTCTGGGCCTGCGGTGTCCTCAGCACTCACACTCTGCTAACCCAGATCCCAAGGTTGTTTGTTTTTTTGTTTTTAATTAATTAATTAATTTTATTTATTTTTGGCTGCACTGGGTCTTCCTTGCTGCGCGCGTGCTATCTCTGGTTGCGGCGATCAAGGGTACTCTTCGTTGCGGCGTGTCGGCTTCTCATCGCGGTGGCTTCTCTTGTCGCGGAGCACAGGCTCTAGGCACTCGGGCTTCCGTAGTTGTGGCACGCCAGCTCCAGAGTGCAGGCTCAGTAGTTGTGGCGCACAGGCTTCATTGCTCCACGGCATGTGGGAACTTCCCAGACCAGGGCTTGAACCCGTGTCCCCTGCATTGGCAGGCAGATTCTTAACCACTGCGCCACCAGGGAAGCCCTCAAGGTTGTAATCTACAGCAGCGGAGACACTGTCACGGCTGGCACTAGGAAGCGGGGTGACAGTGCTTACAAAGGAAGGCGTCCAGAAGTCAGACACACCTGGGCTCGGGCACTTCCTGTGCACCTTGGCCAAATAACCCAACCTCTGGAAGCCTCAACTCCTCACCTGTACAGTAGGCACAGTAATACCCATCTCTCAGGAATGTCATAAAGTTTAAATGAGACAATAAATTAATTTTAAAAATGCTTAGTGAACTGATGAGCACATACTCGATGTTCAAACCGGCAGATATTACAACCTTGGAAATATTTAGTGTTATCTATATACTTTGGTACACATTCAACTCAAGCAGACTGCTTTGAGGATCTCAACAGTGGCAAACATCCTGAGAAGGAAGTGACTTCTGGAACCCAAGCTGAGCTAGTCTACGCTCGTTAGCAAAACTATCAGGAACTCACTGAAGCACAGCCCAGAGCAATTTAAGTTTCATTCCAAAAGCACGCTGGGGGTCCACTGGTGCTCTCCAGGGCAGCCTTCGGTTGGTTCCCAGGCTGCATTCTCCAATGGTGACACAGTGGCCTATGGTGGTGGGACAGAAGGATGGGAAAGGGGCCTGGGCTGATAAAGTGCTGAGAGCACCAAAAGCCGGACACCTGCAGACTCCAGGCAGACCTTCACTACCCAGAGCACTTCAGGACAACATCAGCCACTCTGCTGCTGTGCTGGAGCCAAAGCTGTCTGATTTGTATTTAAAAGCAACAAAAAGTGTCACAACAAATGAGATTTAATGAACCCTCTCAGCTGTCACTGCCTGATGAGTTCTCACTGTTATGGTTTATCTCTTGGCAAGGACCCGATGGGACTATTTCTCAGCTAACAGGTGGCCTGTTTATTATTCCATAGGTTTGGTAGGAATCACAGTTATTTTGAAGAAGAATGGAATAATAAAACTTTTTTAAAGCAACAGTGCATAAATGGATAACTACCCAATCTGCCCATATTTCATTTCTATTCTGTGGGTAAAAAGACAGCATGAGCCAATTCTCCATTCTACAATGGAGAATTCTCTTGCTCTAACACAGAGCACTCCACTCAAACTCATGTGGCTGGCTGTGTTTTTCCAGACTTTAGCTTAAAGAAGAGAGCAAATTGGCAAGCTCCATCTCTAGATTCAACTTGTACCAGGGCTTTGAAATTACAATTTGTTGCCCATTAGATGTCCTATGTGACAAATGTGGCATTACAAATTCTAAAGTCCCTTTGTAACATGTGAATAAACGTGTGACAAAATGGTCAGTAAATAGTATGATAAACCGACAGGGAGATGAATCATCCCCACCAATGGTACTTAGTGGCACCCTCTGTGACATGTTCAGTGGTTAATTCTTTGTGTCAACTTGACGGGGCCAAGGGATGCTCTGATATTTGGTTAAACATTATTTTGGGTGTGTCTGTAAGGGTGTTCCTGAATGAGATGAACATTCAAATTGATATACTGAGTAAAGCAGATTGCCTGCTCACCGTGGGTGAGCCTCATTCAATCTGCTGAAAACCAGAATAGAACAAAAGGCAGAGTGGGGGTGAAGCCAAGCAGGACCCTGCGGGGCTCCTGGACATGGAAGCCTTTCTGTGTCCCTCTTTCTTGTTTGTAGAGAACAGATTCCAGCCTCCATGATCTTCCCTGAGTTTCAAAGGGCAGGTTCAAACAGTTGCTCATCAGGGAAGGGAGGGGATGCAGAGACAAGGGAGAAGCAGTCAAGAAACAATAGTGCAGCCTTGGGGCAGGGTCCTGGTTCCCCCTCAAGGGATACACATAACGCTATCTTTGAGCTCTTTACAGAACTAAAACCTCCAACAAATGGAAGATGTTAACTACCTGATGAAGCGTTCTTCATTCCAGAGAGATGAAGCGTTCTTCATTCCAGAGAGAAGGTCATGATGTGATAGCCTCAAGAACCACAGAAGCTCATCAGGAGACCAGGTTAAAGGAATGCAGGCCCTGTACACACCCTGACCCTTATCAGCAACCCAGCCCTTGAACCACTGCTGTAAAACTCCTCACCAAATCCCCCTGGGTTGGGACACACAGTTTTGAGGGCATGAGTCCACTGTGTTCCCCTCTGCCTGGCAAAGGAGTAAAGCTATTCTTTTCTACCCCAAACTCTGTCTCTGAGATTCGATTTGGCACCAGCGCACAGAGGTCGAGTTTTTGGCATCGGGGGAATTTGCTGTCTCTGCCTGACTGCCTTGGATCGGGGATACTGGTCTTGTCTTGGACTCTGGCTCAGACTGGAACTTACGTCCTCGGCTCTCCTGATTCTCAGGCCTTCAGTCCTGGGCTGGAACTATACTATTGACTCTCCTGCTGCTTGATGACTACAGATCTTAGGGACGCCTCAGCCTCCACAGTCACATGAGCCAATTCCTTATAATAAATCTCTTTACATGTCACATGTACATGCACACACACACATTCTATTTGTTCTCTTTCTCTGGAAAACCCTGACTAGTACACCACTGTACTGAGAGATGGGTTAACCACTGTAGATGCAGAACCTGCACCCTTTTTCCACGCTGTCAGGGAGTTCTCTGCAAGTGGCAGACGTTTTTTAAAAGCCCCTGGGAACAGAAAATAGGGGAAAGCCACAGGAGAGACGAGCATTCAGGGATGTAAGCGTGGGCAAAGCAGTGCTAGGAAAAGCTCATGAAGAAACTGGGTTTGACCAAAACTTGTGATCTTTGTATCCAGTTTGCAAACACTTAAAATGTATAATTTCCTTGATCCCAAGTTTTCACAGTTTCTTCTGTTTAATTCCCTATTATATTTCTATTGAATTTCAGACTTTATCTCAAAGTTAAAGTTTTCTGAAATCATAACCTTGGTTTGTAGTCGATACAATCTGGCTTCAGCTTACCTGGATGGAAATTCTATAAAAGGTGGAAAGAGACCCAGAGGAAAAGCATCCAGTAGCAATGAAGCGCTGCCCACACAGAACTCACAAACTAAGAGCTACTGTGCATAAACACAGGGTCTTCTGAGGACGATGAAGCTGTTCAAACACGTTATTTTATTAATTCTCACAACGTCCTGATGCAAGAGGCCAGGAGGACACCTCCAGTCCCTGGACTCCTAATCTCACACTCTCGGGCTCAGCACCTCTGCAGGGCCACTGTTTGTGTGTTTATTTTTGGTCGGGGACTCAGAAAAAAATTCAAGGAAAATTCTAAGGAAAAAACCCCAAAACCCTGAGGTAGAAAAGGCTGAGAAAAGGATGCAAACAACCCCACTGTAGCTGCTGCAGAGAATAAGACTCCAGTGAGGAGAGAGCCCGGGAGTGGAAAGGGAGATGGGGAAGAGGCGGGCACTGCTTCTGTGGCTGCTACCTGCCATGTTCGCCTGGCTGGTGCCCAGGGCCTGAAGAATCAGCTGTAGCTCCCTGACGGCTGCAGCCGCCTCTTCTCCACAGGACATGTCAGGCTCCAGGACCACTTCCAGAAGGCCGACCCCTACCAAAGAGAGGCAGAGTCAGTCTGACTGGAGCTCTCCAGTCTGATCCGCAGATACATCAGGCTGAAACTTAGGAAAACCCTGCAGCACTGACAGGCCCTGAATCGTTTCACTTTCCCCTCACTTTTGGATTTTTAACTCTGGTTCTTTTCTTTTAACGTCTGCTTCAGATGTCAAGCTGCCGGGTCTGTGACTAGGCGGCGACGCTGTCTCGTTTTAGGGGTGGGTTAGTTGCAAGCGCATAGAAACCACAGTCCTAGCCCGGCTCTCTAATCAGCTCTGCCAACACCAACACTGATTCCGATTGTCATTAGTCAGGCTCTGGGGCCTGTCTCCTCAGTTGGTTTGGGCAAACTCTGGAGGGGAAGGGAAGTGGCAGGAAGGAAAATGGGGACTCTTCAAGCCTACCCGCTCTATTCAAATCAATGAGCGTCTGGGACTGCAGGCTGTCATGGAGGCTTTTGCCGCTGTCCTGTTCCAGCTGGATCTGCTTGACCCCCGCTGTCCTGGTGACCATCTGACTCCGCCTCTTCCCCACACAGACGCTGTACGCCAAGCTCCCGTTCACTGCGATCGGCAGCCTCTGCTGGGTAATCTGGTAGCCGGCCTGCATGCAAATGTGGGCCAGGGTCACTCGTCTGTAGGTCAAAGCTGGGAACTAGTTGATCATTCCTTTTAATGTCATAAAACTACAGACTTACGTAAAACCACAACAGAACAGAAAAGGAAAAAAGGAAAAGGAGACATAAATCAGTTTATGTGCTGCAGCCGTAACTTAGCCTGGCCTCTTCTAGCTTCTCTGGACGCTCCTTTCCCCATCCCTGAACCCACACCCCTAATAATGAAGCAGTCAACAACATGGATCCTATCTTCCCTAGGGAGTACCAATTTGGGGAATAACAATAATCTCTCTGTCTGAAGCCTCTAAGAAAAGAACGTATTGTTTCCACTAAGCTCATTAGCTCAGCCCTGCATCTGATTACTGGGCTCCTGACAGACCCTCTTACTGGAAGTGCTGGCTAAGCATCCTGCCATCTACTCTCAGCACAGCTAACACCAGTTGCTAGTGCGGTGAAGCTGGATTC